CTCCAGACTGGGGGACAGAGTGGGGCCCTGTCTCTAAAAAAGTAAAAATAAATAATATATATATACACACACGTATACACACACACACACATTTTGTGACAGAGTCTTACTCTGTTTCCCGGGCTGGAGTGCAGTGGCACGATCTCGGCTCACTGCAAACCTCTGCCTCCTGGGTTCAAGTGATTCTTGTGCCTCATCCTCCTGAGTAGATGGGATTACAGGTGCCTGCCACCACGTCCAGCTATTTTTTTGTGTTTTTAGTAGAGACAGGGTTTCACCATGTTGCCCAGGCTGGTCTCGAACTTCTGACCTCAAGTGATCTGCCTGCCTTGGCCTCCCAAAGTGCTGGGGTTTCAGGAGTGAACCACTGCATCTGACCTTGTTTTAAATTTTAAATACTCCTCATGTGCGTAGCACAGTGCCAGAGCAGATGCTTAGTAGTCATCATGGTATGGACAGAGGAACATAGATGCCTAGTATTCTGAAAATCTGCCTTGGCTATACCTACTGTCCCACTAGGTCCCTGAAGAGATAACCACTGAAGATATTCCACATACAAAAAAGCCTTCTTTGTTACAATTAGGCCCTTGGTCCTAGGGCTTGTGGTGAGGCAGGCTAGACTATGACAAGCCCTGCCTCTTGGAGGAAAAAAGAAGAGTAGCTCAAAACACTTAAGAAGGTAAGGAGTCCAAGCAAAGGAGATAATCCAAGGAGAGGCTAAGGAGAACCTCCCCTCCAGGAACTCAGATTAGTTTTGTCCTGTAATTCATCTTGAACACTCTGGCTTGTTAATAAGCCCCCCTGTGCCAAATGTTCTTCTTTGCCCTTTTTTCAGTTTGATTTGTTCAGCATAGGCACATAGTAGATAAAACAGAAGAATTCTTGCTCTATGGAAGTCACATTTTAGTGAGTTAATCTTACCCCTCTCATGAATCTTCCCCATGGCATGCCTTCCCCAAAAGGCTACTCTCACCAAGAAGTCCACCTCTACTATAGTGGTAAAATTGTATCTTTTCTTGTGTTCATTTTGTTCTTGGTCTACATAGTTGCTTTTCTTCCTTTGGTTGGTTGTGAGATGTAACTTTAAAGATGTGGAGGCAGGGAGCCTAGAATTCTTGCAATAGAGACAGATGTTTAGGTTAAAAACAATGAGGCAAAATTTATGTGTTACTTTTAAGTTTTTGTTGAATACAGATTGGAAATGTAGTTGATCAGGGAACTGATGAAAGTAAGATAAAGGAGATACAGAAGAAAGAAAGTAGACAGCTGCTTTGAATCTCTGCTGTGAGCTTTTTTAGATGTTGTGGGGAATGACTTGCTGAAAAATATTGGAAGGTAAGTTAGTACTGAAGTAACGGGAACTAGCATGGTAAAGTGGAAGCTATATTATACTAGGAATCAGTCTAACGAGATTTTCTGATAAGCACCCTGAGCAAGTCATTCTTTCTGTGCAAAGAATGGGAATAAAACTAGATCAGTGAGTGGTTCTCAACACTGCACATTAAAAGTACCTAGAAGGCTTTTACAATTGAGTTAGTCTTTGGGAGGTAGGAATTGGGACTTTTTAAAAAGCTTCCATCAGTATTATGTAAAAGTTCCCCAGGTCTAGTTTGAGAACTACAGTGGATCAAAAAGCCTTTCCAACTGTGACATCTTGCATTTTATGAAATAAAATTTAGCGTGTGAACAGCTATAGCTGTGGAAATAAAATAGTAAGGAAGTTGTTGGCATGATTGATGTTTAGAAATTGTTAATTTCAGAAACCTACTTCCTGGCATATCAAAGACAATGACAGCCTCCTTCTGCCGTTAGCTTCTTTCATTCCTATCATGTTTTCTGGAATTCTTTCTTAGGAATATTTAAGTTTTTCTGCATTTTCTTAATAATTGTTGTTTAATGAGCACCTTTTAAATTTGAATTTCTACACATTCATAGAAAGCTTTACTTTTTGTTTATTGTCACTGAAAAAACTCCTTAGCTTGTTAAACCAGACTAATGAATTGGAGGTAAGGATTGGAGCCTGGAAAAATCTCAGCATACTCAGTAACAGTACAGTACTTTAATACCACTAAGCATGATGAGGACTTTTATAACAGTGATGAGTCCTCATTATTTCCCAAAGGATAACTTTGAGGGCAGAATTTATACATTCTCATTCATTCCATTATGTAATTAAGAACCAAAGGTAATATAGTTTTACAGAAAAACATTTTCTGTTTGTTTTTACTTTTGAGACAGGGTCTAGCTCTGTCACCCAGGCTGGAATGCAGTGGCATGATCACAGCTTACTGCAGCTTTGACCTGCAGAGCTCAAGTGATCCCCCTGCCTCTGTCTCCTGAGGAGCTGGGACTGTAAGCATGGGCCACCATGCCTGGATAATTTTTTTTTTTTTTTTTTTTTACTTTTTGTAGAGATGGGGTCTTCTTATGTTACCCAGGCTGGTCTGGAACTCCTAGGCTCAAGCGATCCTCCCACCTTGGCCCCCCAAAGTGCTGGAATTACTGGCATTAGCCACTGTGGCCAGAAACATTGTTGGTTTTTTGTTGTTGTTGTTGTTGTTTTTTTTGAGACTGAGTCTGGCTCTGTCGCCCAGGCTGGAGTGCAGTGGCCGGATCTCAGCTCACTGCAAGCTCCGCCTCCCGGGTTTACGTCATTCTCCTGCCTCAGCCTCCGGAGTAGCTGGGACTACAGGCGCCCGCCACCTCGCCCGGCTAGTTTTTTGTATTTTTTAGTAGAGACGGGGTTTCACCGGATTAGCCAGGATGGTCTCGATCTCCTGACCTTGTGATCCGCCCGTCTCGGCCTCCCAAAGTGCTGGGATTACAGGCTTGAGCCACCGCGCCCGGCTTCTTTTTTATTTTTTTTGAGACGGGGTCTCGCTCTGTCGCCCAGGCTGGAGTGCAGTGGCCGGATCTCAGCTCACTGCAAGCTCCACCTCCCGGGTTTATGCCATTCTCCTGCCTCAGCCTCCCGAGTAGCTGGGACTACAGGCGCCCGCCACCTCGCCTGGCTAGTTTTTTGTATTTTTTTTAGTAGAGACAGGGTTTCACCGTGTTAGCCAGGATGGACTTATGTCTAATTTTCTCATATTCCTTTTGAAATGTGTTAGTACATAGAATGTGTTTTGGAGAGCAGTGGTTTGCTTTTAAAACCAGCGTTCAGTAGAGAATTCCTGCTTTGTTTATACTGTGTCCTCTTTGAGTTAGTTTTAGACAATATAAGTTTTTCTCAGTTGTGCCATACTGTAACCGTTACTCTTGACTACTTAAATTTTTAAATTGTCTGATTCTCTGCTCATACCTACTTATTTGTAAATTTATTATCTTGGATATGTAACTATAGGACTTCATATTTGTTTCTTTTAAATTTTATCTGGTCTCTTAATACTTTTGAATCTTGATCTCGTGAATTAACTATGCTTTTTAGTTGGGATATTTTACAAAATTAATTATCATACTTTTTATACATATTAGATTGTTGACAAGTTAAATAGGCTGACTCATTTTTAGATACTGTATACAAAGCTAAGACTCAGACCTGTGTGCCATACTCTGTTCCTGTTCCCTGTTACCATGAACTTCCCTGTGATTAACAGTGGCATTTAAAGATCTGCCTTCTAAATCTTCTGTATAACCTGGAACATTACTTTTTGCCTTTTCTAAGATTCATTTGCTTCTCCCTCTTGAGATCCAGTTTAATTGTATCCTCTTCAGAAAGGTCTTCTCTGACCAGCTCATCCCAAGTAGCCCCCCATAGTAATGGGGAGCATTGCTATTTTATTACATCATCTAACTTTGTTCATAGACATGATTCTTGTTATTTGTTTCCCCTCAAATAGAATGTAAGCTCCATGAAGTCAGACTGTCTCTGTCACTTAACTCTGTATCCCTAGCACCTAAGATAGTGCTTACCACAGTGGGACCTTAATAGTCAAAGGAAGGAGAATGACTTGTACTCCCTTTTTACCAACCCTCCAGAGATTTTGAGGTATTCCAAGGGTGGTCACACCTCCAGTTGGAAAATCTCTGCCTTGCTTTGATCACCGATTAATCATAACTGTAATGATCTTGCATCTTGCCAATTTTTTCTCCTTTATATTTTCCCCCAAAAAAGTTTCATGAAAGTTGCCTAGATACATGTAAAAATGGATAGATTTTTAGATATTTTGTCTCAGATATGAGAAAAGCCTCTGGTTTGGTAAATAACACCTAATTGGAGTTTCCAAGTAGAAGGACCCTAGGTTCAGTAAGAGTATTTATTTCCCTGATACATGTTTATTGTAAGTGGGGTTAAATGCTTGTTCTCTGTGCACTTATATTGGGTATTATTAGTAAATCATCTCTTTACTAGTTTATTAGTCTTGTCCCCAGACAAGACTATCAGAGTCACCAGTCTGTTTTGTTTTGGGTTTTTTTAAATTTATTTTTTATTTTTAAAAATTGAGACAGGTCTTAGTGTGTTGCTCAGGCTGGTCTCAAACTCCTGGGCTCAAGCGATCCTCCTGCCTTGGCCTTCCAAAGTGCTGGGATTACAGGCATGAGCCACCATGCCCAGCCACCAGTCTGTTTTTTGAGGACTCCATCTTTATTTGAAAAATAAGATATTCTTCCAAGCGCATTGACATCGCAACGATTCAATTTATATATTCTTTTAGTTTGGTTTAAAATTAACTATCTTTTTTGTGTTGTGGAGCTAAATGAACTATGTTGTGATATAGAAGCTAGAAGCTTTTCTCAGATTCTGAAAAGCTTTTCCATATCCATTTATTGTTAAGTACAAGTGATCCCTGTTCCCATCTGTTGGTAGACAGAATTGGTGCCATTTTCTTCTTCTGACACCACGTTTTTTATTTGTCTATGAAATTTTGTAATTTGGGAGCCCCTACATAAAAAAGCATCTGTATGACTTAATATGTATTCTGAAAAGAACTGTGGTTGTTGATTTTTTTTAAAAAAAATGTGTTTTTTTGTTTCAATATTATGTCTTTTTTCCCTTCCAGAGAATGGATCTTGGAGAATGTCTGAAAGTCCATGACCTGGCTTTAAGAGCGGATTATGAAATTGCATCCAAAGAACAAGATTTTTTCTTTGAACTTGATGTATGTGATTTTGCTTTAATGGTTTGTTATCTTTTGCTGTAAAACATGTGGATTAATCTCTCTTAATAAGAAAAACTCTTAGCAGTTTATCCTCTGTGGTTATATGAAGGGTAAGACTCAAGTAAGATCATGTACTTTCTTGACAACTCTTTTAAAAATATGAGGTGAGACTGTATTTTAAGAAAATGTGTGAAAGTCATATGATTCATATATTCTTTTGAAAATCAAGCATATTCTTCCCAACAAAGTAGTAATGATTAAGGAAATATCAAGCAAATGTAAGCAACTAATTAATAGTGTATATAAGGACGTATCTTTAGTAATATACTGAGTTTTTACATTCATATTTATTTTTATATCTACTTATATATATACATGTATGTATAGTTGGCCCCCCATATCTGTCGTGGAATCTGTAGAAGGAACCAACTGGGGATTGTAAATATTTAGCAGAAGAAAGGGATTGTTGCATCTGTACTGAACATGTACAGACATTTTGTTCTTGTTGTTATTCCCCAAACATTACAGTATAACTGTTTACATAGCATTTACATTGTGTTAGGTATTATAAGTAATCTGGAGGCAATTTAAAGTATATGAGAGGTTGTATAATGGGAGATTATATACAAGTATTACATCATTTTATATTAAAAAATGCACATTCATGGATTTTGGTATCCACTGGGTATCCTGGAACCAATCTTGCACAGATAGTGAGGGACATGCGTACGGGTGTTTGGGGGAATTTTTTTTTTTTTTTTTTTGAGTCAGAGTCTCGCTCTGTCGCCCAGGCTGGAGTGCAGTGGCGCGATCTTAGCTCACTGCAGGCTCCGCCTCCCGGGTTCGCCATTCTCCTGCCTCAGCCTCCCAAGTAGCTGGGACTACAGGTGCTCACCACCACGCCTGGGTAATTTTTTTGTGTTTTTAGTAGAGATGGGGTTTCACCTTGTTAGCCAGGATGGTCTCGATCTCCTGACCTCGTGATCTGCCCACCTTGGCCTCCCAAAGTGCTGGATTACAGGCGTGAGCCACCGCATCCGGCCGTTTGAGGGATATCAAGGACAATGTTTATAATGAAAAACCAAGCAATGGAAGACACCATTTAGATATCTAAAAGAGCCTGAAATGTAACTTTATATTGTTGCTTTTACATGAAAATCGTTTGCATAAAAATAAACTTTTTTTGCATATATATAAAGCATAACAATCAGCGTTACATAAAACATACTAATGTGTATAATCTTATGATATATTTTATTAGTGAAATAATAGATGTTTTAAATTTAGTTTTTAGGAGATAAACCAGTAAACAGGTCCTCCTGTCTTCTGAATATCCAACAATTTCTGCTAATGGAAATTAAATTGTTTTTGGAAATACAATTTACAACAAATTTTCCCTACTTTTTTGGTGGTTTTTGGCCTTGCGGAGTACTTGTATATTTATATTGTCTGATTTATCAATCTTTAACACATGGGCATGGTGGCTCCTACGCCTGTAATCCCAGCACTTTGGGAGGCCAAGGCAGGGGTGGATCACCTAAGGTCAGGAGTTTGAGACCAGCCTAGCCAACATGGTGAAACCCCATCTCTACTAAAAATACAAAAATTAGCTGGATATGGTGGTGGGTGCCTGTAATCCCAGCCACTTGGGAGGCTGAGGCAGGAGAATCACTTGAACCCGGGAGTCAGGTTGCAGTGAGCCTAGATGTGCCACTGTGCTCCACCTTGGGGGACAGAGCAAGACTCCGTCTCAAAACACAAACAGAAAAACCAAATCTATTTCATTAATTCTAAAGGCTTTTCTTTTTCTGAGGTGCTAAGAATTCTCTCCCGTGGTTTCTTCTGGCATATTTTGGCTTCATTTTATAGACTTTTCGCGTTTATTCTGGTTTAAGGAATTGAGATATGGATCTAGTCACCCCCCAACGTGACATAGCTACTTAGTCACCCAACACTATTTGCTAATTAGTCCATCTTTTCTCTCAGTGCTTTGAGATGCCACCTTTATCTTTACATAAGGAAATTTGAATAGATTTCTGTTGTGATTTAAAAAGTAAATTTCAAATTAATTAACTATTTTTATGTTATCACAGATAAAAGCTTTTTAAAACCTGATCCTTATTGCTTTTCACATTGAAGAAATTCTTGGGTTATCCAGCTGTTTTTGGAATTCAGTGTGTGCTGAATAAATTTGTATTTTTAGTTAAACATTTGTATCTTGAATTAGTTATATTTCTGTACAGTAAGATTTGGAAGTCCAAACTTGAGAATGAATTCTTAAAGTTTACTTTTAAATGAACTATTAATTATACACATTAATATGTGCCTCACAAATATCGTTTATATAAATATTGAATTTTTATAGTGTAGATATTGCTAAAATTCTCAATGGTTTATTCTCTGAAAAAAGATAAGTTTTCCTAATGTGTGAGACTCTTGTCTCAAAAAAGAAAAAATTATAAAGCAGTTTGGAGAATTAAAAAAGGGTAAAAATGTCAGAAATGCTTTTTGTTAGCATTTTGTATAGTTTTCCATTTTTTCCGTGTTTTTGTCCATTCAGATCTAGACTTGGCAGCAGATTTTTCTGTCTTTATTTTACAAAATTGGGATCTTACTGCATAACATTTGTAATTTGCTTTTTATTTACAAATGAATCCTGAACATTTCTCCATGTCCTCAAGTGACTTTTTTTGAGACACACACTCATTCTGTCACCCAGGCTAGAATGCAGGGGTGCGATCTTGGCTCAGTGCAACCTCCACCTCCCAGGTGCAAGTGGTTCTCCCGCCTCAGCCTCCTGAGTAGCTGTGATTACAGGCGCACACCACCATGCCTGGCTAATTTTTGTATTTTTAGTAGAGACGGGATTTCACCACGTTGGCTAGCGTGGTCTCAAACTCCTGACTTCAGGTGATCTACCTGCTTCGGCCTCCAAAGTGCTGGAATTACAGGCAAGACCCACTGTGCCCAGCTGCTGCTGCTTTTTTTTTTAATGACCTCACTCTGTCACCCACACTGGAGTACAATGGCATCATCAGGGCTCACTGCAGCCTCAACCTCTTTGGGCCCAAGTGTTCCTTGTGCCTCAGCCTCCCGAGTAGCTGAGACTACAGGTGTGCACCACCCACCTGGCTAATTTTTGTATTCTAAGTAGAGGCAGGATTTCGCCAAGTTGGCCAGGCTGGCCTCAAGTGATCTGCCTGCCTTAGCCCCCTAAAGTGCTTGGATTACTGATGTGAGCCACCGTGCCCCACCATGGTAGCATTTTAAAAAGCAAAATGTGATTTTTGTATGAAGATATTTCTGAATAAAGTCGACTTTCTGACAGTAATTGTCTTTAATTAAACTTTGTAGGCCATGGATCATCTGCAGTCATTCATTGCAGATTGTGATCGTAGAACAGAAGTGGCCAAGAAAAGATTAGCAGAAACTCAAGAAGAGATTAGTGCTGAAGTAGCAGCAAAGGTAAGAATTTTAATCATTTCATTAGTACAAAGTATTGTTTCGACTCCTTTTAACTTTTTATTTTGAAATAATTAGATTTGCAAGAGATTGGAAAGACATATACGAAGAATTCTGTATACTCTCTTGTCTGCCCCAGTGTTAACATGTTACACAATGTAGTACAATATCAAATAAATTGACATTGGTCTAATCCTTATATTTGATTCAGATTTTGCCAGTTATGCATGCATTTATTTGTATATGCATGTCTGTTTGTATAGCTCTGTGCAGTTTTTTTGTTTTTGTTTTTGTTTGAGACAGAGTTTTGCTGTGTTGCCCAGGCTTGAGTGCAGTGTTGTAATCTTGGCTCGCTGCATTCTCCGCCTTCTGGGCTTAAGCAAGTCTCGTGCCTCAGCTTCCTGAGTAAGTGGGATTACAGGCGTTCGTCACTATTCCTAGCTAATTTTTTTTATTTTTAGCAGAGACAGAGTTTCGCCATGTTGGCCAGGCTGATCTCAAACTTCTGGCCTCAAGTGATCTGCCCACCTTGACCTCCCAAAGTGCTGGGGTTATAGGCATGAGCCACTACACCTGGCCAGCTCTCTGTAGTTTAATCACGTGTAATTGCAACCACAATTAGGATGCTTAACTATAGCATTGCCACAAGGCTGCCTCATGTTACCCCTTTGATAGCTACATCCATCTTCACCCCCATCCAACATCTCTCACCTTGGCCATCACTAACCTATTCTCTGTCTCTGTAGTTATGTTATTTCATGGAGTGTTATATAAATGAAATCCTGTGTACTCTTTTGAGATTTGACCTTTTTCATTCCATATAACTTTCTTGAGATTCATTCAAGTTGTTTGTATCAGTTCATTCCTTTTTATTTCTCCATTGTACAGATATACCACAGTATTTTTATTTGCTTTTAAAAGCAAATGTTAAATGTCATATTTCACCTGTAAATTATAACCACAGTAATACATACATAAAGTTAACAGTAATTTTTTAATGTTATCCAGTATATGTTTATTTTTCTTATATAGAGTCGATTTGTTATTAGGATCCAAACAAGGTCTTCGATATTGCATTTTGTTGATGACTTATTACAACATAATTATATTCCAGTATGATCTAGTGTGTTTTATGAAAATGGGAGAAAAAGAGTTACCCAGGTGGAGTTTAGATGACAGTATTAAAATATGGTGTTCAGATATGTATATGCAAATGAAAATAGATTCCATTGTTTGAGAAGAGGGTTGCTTTTAGTCAGCCTTTTCTTAAAAGTTCTCTGAAGATGGGGACTGGAAAGACGGGCATCCTGAAGTACAAAGGATCTAGTATCTCATGGTTGGAAGAGATCTGTAAGTGAGCCTGAGTTGTATTGGTTGTATTGGTTATCCATCACTACAGAAATGCTGTATAACAAACCACCTCAAAGCTCAGTGACTTAAAACAGTAAGTATTTATTTAGCCCATGACTCTGCAGTCGATGATTTAGGCTGAACTTGACTGAGTAGTTATTCTTGTTTCAGCTGGGCTTACTCACATGCCTTGCAGTCCGCTGGAGGATGCAGAGCCATGCCCAGCAGGCTAGCCTGGCCGTGTTCTCATGGTGGTGGCAGAGGTGCAGAAGCATCAAGCCCCATCACACAGGCCTCTCCTTTGGTCATGTTTGCTACCATCTTAATAACCAAAACAAGTTCATGGCCAAATTCAGAGTCAGAGTACGATGGTACACAATTACATGGTCAAGGACATGGATACAGGGAAAAAGAGTTTTGGACAACAGTTTAGTTGTTCAGTAATGTATTTAAAGGAAAATACCATTTGGTAGAGAGGAAGGATAGTAATAATAGAATTAGGACTCTCACTGAGGGAAGAAATATCTTGGGTTGAAGGATATTTGAGAAGTAAAGATTATTAATTAAACCAGTAAACTGGTTTGTTGGGACAGGAAACTCATACCAAACTAAAACCTTCGGCCGGGTGCAGTGGCTAACACCTGTAATACCAGCACTTTGTGAGGCCAAGGTGGGTGAACTACTTAAGGTCATGAGTTTGAGACCAGCCTGGCCAACATGGTGAAACCTTTCTCTACAAAAACTGCAAAATTAGCAGTCATGGTGGTGCATGCCTGTAATCTCAGCTATGGGGGAGGCTGAGACAGGAGAATCGGTTGAACTCAGGAGGCAGAGGTTGTAGTGAACTGAAATCGTGCCACTGCACTCCAGCCTGGGGACAGAGCAAGACTCCATCTCAAAAACAACAATAACAACAACAAAAAATTAAAACCTTCTTTGCTAACATAATTGGCCATACAGCAAAGACTTTGTGGCCCAAGATAATGATTATATGTATGTTTTATGTGCCATTAGAACAGTAAGAATGAACTAAGTTGCTAGGATGATAATAGTGATAAGGAAGAGGAATGTATTCTTTCCCAAGGCAAGAGTTAATCTCAGTGGAAAGCTAAGGACTCAGAGTGGAGTTGCCAGGCAAGTATGCTGAAAATCAGTAAGGTGCTATGCAGTGTACGTACAAGGCATATTTTCTCATTTCTCACAACTTTGTGGGATAGGTACTGTCTGTACTTCTTAGATGAGGAAATGGATTCAGGTATAAGTAATGTGGCCAAAATTACACAAATAGTAATTGGTTTAGCAATAAGTCAGATCTGTTGGACTCCTGAGCTTGATCCACCAATTCATTTCTTTAACTCATATTTGAGCCTAGGCTATTTGCTGAGCACTAGAGATACAAAGATGGGAAATACAGCTAACTGTCCTTAAAGTAGTATGATATTTATGAAAGGAACTGTCAAAAAAGATACAAAGGTGACACAAAGGAGAGAGTATGGCCATGTTTGCTGATGTGTTTAAGTGGGGCTGGGATGCAGTGAATGTTAGGAATGCTTTACAGAAATGACCCTTGAGTTGGATCTTGTTGGAATGAGTGAACATTCAGTAGGCAGACGAAAGGTAAGGGATCCCATCCCAGAAAGAAGAGTATATGCAAAGTCACAGAGGTAGAAAACAACAGGGTAAGTTTGGGAAACTATAGATTATGTTGTGAGGTAGAGGAGTAGCAAGAGATGGTTTAGAAAAGTACAAAGGGCCAGATCATGGAAGAAACGGTATTTTAAACTAGGAATACACCACCTCGCCAGAGGACAGAAAGTTATATTGGGCCCAGTAGTAGCCCTGACTTCATTGAGGTAAGGCAGGCAGGCTCAGAACATCCTGATGTCTCAGTTCATTTGGGATATGCTCCGAAAGCATTCTTTAACCTCATATTGCCTTAGATAACAAGTCTCTTCTCAGCAGTTCTGAAATATCTTGAAGTTTAAAATTCATTCTCTTGTTTATTCATGACCTGTTTTTATTTCTTTTTAGGCAGAACGTGTTCATGAGTTAAATGAAGAAATTGGTAAATTGTTAGCTAAGGTGGAACAACTAGGAGCTGAAGGGAATGTGGAAGAATCCCAGAAAGTAATGGATGAAGTAGAGAAAGCACGGGCAAAGAAAAGAGAAGCAGAGGTAAATTCTTAATAGTAGTAGACGAATTCTGCTTAATTTGGTAAGACTTAAAAAAAAAAGTAGTAGATGAAATTTAATATCTATACTTCTCTAAGAACATGTATTTGAATGGAAATTATTGAACAGTTATTAAAGAGAAGTTGAACTAAAAGACAAAAACAAAACACGGAAAAAGCTGGTTGGGGTGGTATGTGCCTTTGGTCCCAGCTATTCCACAGGCTGAGGCAGTCGCTTGAGTTCAGTTCAAGTCCAGCCTTTTTTTTTTTTTTGAGATGGAGTTTCGCTCTTGTTGCTCAGCCTGGAGTGCAATGGCACAATCTCGGCTCATCGCAACCCCTGCCTCCCAGGTTCAAGCGATTCTTCTGCCTCAGCCTCCCAAGTAGCTGGGATTACAGGCCCACACTACCACACCTGGCTAATTTTTGTATTTTTAGTAGAGACAGGGTTTCTCCATGTTGGTCAGGCTGGTCTTGAACTCCCGACCTCAGGTGATCCACCTGCCTTGGCCTCCCAAAGTGCTAGGATTACAGGAGTGAACCACCGTGCCAGGACATTTTTTTTTTCCTAAAGACAGTCTCACTCTCTAAGGCTGGAGTGCAGTGGTGCGATCTCAGTTCACTGAAACCTCTGCTTCCCAGGTTCAAGCGATTCTCTTGCCTCGGCCTGCCGTGTAGCTGGGACTGCAGGCGTGCACCCATGCCTGGCTAATCTTCTGTATTTTTAGTAGAGACAGGCTTTCACCATGTTGGCCAGGTTGGTCTTGCTTTCCTGACCTCAGGTGATCTGTCCACCTCAGCCTCCCAAAGTGCTGGGATTACAGGCATGAGCCACCGCACCTGGCCGGTTTTTGTTGTTGTTTTTAAAATTAATTTTGGTAAATTTGTGTTTCACAAAATCTCTCTAAGTTGTATTTATTGATATAAAGTTGTTCATAATGTTCTCTTTTAATATCTGTAGAATGTTTGCAGTTCGTGTCTTCTCTTTTCTTGATTTATCTAGCTGGTCAGTTTTATTTTGTTTTTCAAAGAACCAGTCTTCTGATCTTATTGTTTTCTTGTTTTCTATATCATTGATTTCTGTTCATGTTTATTATTTCTTTCCTTATACTCCAGTGGAGAGAGGCCCTAAGGATAGAGGATGGGGATAAAGGGAACCTATAATTTTCATAACAAAATAGCCATGCTTTTGTGTAATTTTTTTTTTTTCTTTGAGCTGGAGTCTTGCGCTGTCACCTAGGCTAGAGTGCAGTGGCATGATCTCGGCTCACTGCAACCTCCACTCCCCAGGTTCAAGCGATTCTCCTGCCTCAGCCTGCCAAGTAGCTGGGATTACAGGCACACACCACCATGCCTGGCTAATTTTTTGTATCTTTAGTAGAGATGAGGTTTCACCATGTTGGCTAGGCTGGTCTTGAACTCCCGACCTCGTGATCCACCCTCCTTGGCCTCCCAAAGTGTTGGGATTACAGGCGTGAGCCACCATGCCCGGCTGCTTTTGTGTATTCTTTAGAAAACATTTTGGTAGAAGCATAGTATATTGTATTTAATTGGATGACTTTTAGTAAGATTTATATGGTCATTGTTTTTCTCACTTTTGTTTAGGAAGTTTATCGGAATTCTATGCCAGCTTCCAGTTTTCAACAGCAGAAACTTCGAGTCTGTGAAGTCTGCTCTGCCTATTTAGGACTTCATGATAATGACAGACGACTGGCTGATCATTTTGGGGGTAAACTACACCTGGGATTTATTGAAATAAGAGAGAAGCTTGAAGAATTAAAGGTACATTGGTAAAATATTCCTCACTTTATCCTCTTGTTCTTTTGATCTGTATCAGTTGTCTTTTTGTACAATATTCTTGACTATGGTTCAGTAAGATAGTAATCTAATGATGAATACTAAACAGTGTAGGATTACAGATGGAAATTCAAGTTGGTTTAATGGATGCTGCCTGAGAAACAGACTTAAATATTATTCTGTTATTTTGGGAGTTACCATTTTATATTAGATATGACACTGAGTTAGGAATCTTTCAAACTAGTTTCTAATAGAGTCCTGTAAAATTTCATTGTTATCGTTCTTTTCAATAAGGTCAATAAGAATGTAATATTAATACAATATTTATAAGAAGTTTGAGAAAATGAGCCCAATATTAATTTGAAATATTTTGCAATTCTTTACTAAATAACAAGCTTGCAGAATCTCTAGTTTTATTTTATGCTCCTGCTTCCACTTCAGAAAGGACTTACGAAAAAATTTATATATTTTTTTAAAGGGACAATCACTATTCAATATATAGGCTTTTGTGAGGAAAACAACATAGTTTTTACTCTTGTTTAGAGGGGATAAACGTGGTATTTTTATCATATTTGGTGGTATTTCTGAAGTGATAAAGATGAGTGTTCGTGGATATAATCTATTTATCTTTTAATATGCTGATAACTTTTTAAGAATTGTGGCACTGTAGTGTTTTTCCATGAATTGAGGACTAGCTGACAGATGGGAAACATGGGATAGTCATTTTCTTTGTACCTGTTATCACTGGAATTAACTCAAGGTCCATAGCATTTAAAATAATGTAGAATCAGAAAATGCCTATGGACATCTCCAGATTCGCAGGTTACGGTGGGCTCTTTTCAGTATTCTGAGTAGCTAGGGTGATCTCAAGTAATTTTAAAAAATTTTTCGAAAAGAGTCACTATAGCAAATAGTTATTGGGCTCCAAGTTAAAACTCCAGTGGTTCCTACTTGGGAATCTGCACATACAGACCTAGCAACAGAACTCAAGCATTTTACTCATATCTTTAAAAGCAGCAGCATCAGGATGGTAATTGGAAGTGACCTAAATATTTCCATATTAGAAATCACAGGGCATGGGAACTTGTAATGATTTATAATGGTTGATTTTTTTAAAAAAAATACAAGATAATACTAGAAAACAGAGGAGGAAAATCTTGTAGAAGTGACTTGGAAATGTCACTAAGAAATCATGAAAGGCTAGGTGCGGTGGCTTACGCCTGTAATCCTAGCACTTTGGGAGGCCAGGGCAGGTGGATCGCAAGGTCATTAGTTCAAGACCAGCCTGGCCAATATGGTGAAATCCCGTCTCTACTAAAAATATAAAAATTAGCTGGGTGTGGTGGTGCGTGCCTGTAGTCCCAGCTACTCGGGAGGCTGAGGCAGGAGAATCGCTTGAACCCGGGAGGTGGAGGTTGCAGTGAGCTGGGATTGTGCCCCTGCACTCCAATCTGGGCAACAGAGCGAGACTCTGTCTCAAAAAAAAAAAAAAAAAAAAAAAAAAAAAAAAAACTGGGTATGGTGGCTCATGCCTGTAATCCCAGCACTTTGGGATGCCAAGGTGGCCAGATCACTTGAGGCCAGGAGTTGGAGACCAGCCCGGGCAACATGGTGAAACCCTGTCTCCACTAAAAAATATTAATACAAAAATTAGCTGGGTGTGGTGATGCACGGCTGTAATCCCAGCTCCTCAGGTAGCTGCAGCTGGCAGGTGGAGGTTGCAGTGAGCTGAGATGGCGCTACTGCACTCCAGTCTGGGCAACAGAGTAAGACTCTGTCTCTAAAAAAATAATAATAGTAAGATCGTAGGCTGGTCTCAGTGGCTCGCACCTGTTAATTCCAGCACTTTGGGAGGCTGAGGTCGGAGGATCACTTGAGCCCAGGAGTTGTAGACCAATCTGGGCAACATAGCCAGTTTCTGTCTGTATTTTAAAATAATTTGTTTTCATTAAAAAAAAAAAAAAAATAGAAATCATGGAGAAAAGTGAAATTTTACACATTTTCCACAAAGTGGGGAAAGATGATGGAAAGAAGACTTGTAAGCCTAATGATTATTTCTGGCAGTAATTCAAATTGTTATTAAACAGATTTTGACAGCAGTTGTACTATATTAGAAACCAGATACTGTAAAGTTTAGGATAAAGCTGATTAAGAATGGACTCAGTAAATATGCTCCTCATTTATTACCATTTTTAAGAGAGTCGTAGCTGAGAAGCAGGAGAAAAGAAACCAGGAACGGCTGAAACGAAGAGAAGAAAGAGAAAGAGAAGAAAGGGAGAAGCTGAGGAGGTATGGAGTAATGGGCCAAGTAATTGAAGTTGAATCTCTGGTTCGAAAAAGAGATACAATTGATTTTAAATTTTAGATGGTGATAAATCTGTTATGGGATGTGGGAAACTTCTGCTTACTTTAAAAAATATTACTGTGCGAATTATATAAATGTTTAATTATACAAGTATCATAACTCTTGGCCATTTAACGGAATGTGGTTTCCTTTAAAATGTGTGGAAGAGTGAATAAAGAATGCTTCATATCTTGTAAGATTTATAACAAAATCCTTTTCTAGCCCTTTGATTTTTCATATTGGGCTAGGTTTGCACCAGGTTAGCATAGAATTATTTTTTTATGATGTATTTTGTGAATAAAAGGTTTAAGGGTGATTGTTTCATTGAAGGGTTTATTTTACATTGATCTTTGGTTCGTTATTTCCTCAATTCTAGGAGCCATAACCTGTTAAAAAGTCTATTAGTAATACCTCAATGTATATAATTCCTCTTACATTGGTATTTATTAATTGATAAAATCTTATAATTCTTAGTATTTGGAATGTCTAAACATTCTTCTGAGTCACTTTTACCCATTGGCAGCTAAAATCACATAGCATCATGGTGGCAACATTTTTTTGTAACTCATCTTTATAACTTTTTCAGCAGCTTTAGGATGGACAATTATATCACAAAGGATTTGCCTGTAGTCCTAATTTATAGTGTTCCCTGAATCATATTACATTTATTTTTTATTTTTTTCTTTTTTTTGAGACGGAGTCTCGCTCTGTCGCCCAGACTGGATCACTGCAAGCTCCACCTCCCGGATTTATGCCATTCTCCTGCCTCAGCCTCCCGAGTAGCCCGGACTACAGGCACCCGCCACCGCGCCTGGCTGGTTTTTTGTATTTTTTAGTAGAGACGGGGTTTCACCATGTTAGCCAGGATGGTCTCGATCTCCTGACCTTGTGATCTGCCCGTCTCGGCCTCCCAAAGGGCAGGGATTACAGGCTTGAGCCACCGTGCCTGGCCCGTATTACATTTAAATGTCTGAAAGTTAAATACTTTCTCTTCAGAGTTAGCAGATGTGCTTAAGCTAATTAAAACCCTTTGTAGTATTAGGTTATGCTCACTTCCTTCAATCTTTGAGCATATTATACTCAGTATATTTCAAGAAGTTTAAACAGAATTTATGTTACATGGCTTATAATCAGGTAATCTTTTTGCACCATAATGACAATGAAACAAAACTATATGTCTATATGGTTCCTTTTCAGGGGAAGTGATGTCAGTCCTCTATTAAGAGAGAGAGAGTTCTTCATTTACCATAAAGTTTACCTCAGAGCTTTTATCTACTTGTTCTTTTGTGTACACTAAGTCCTTATGGGAATGTTGCCCACTATTCTAATATATAAGTGGAATTTTCAGTAATAATTGGGAATCTCATTTTAAGATTCAATTGAGGTGACAGTAACATGGAACAAAATTTCTTTGCAGGACTACATTTTCACATTTGTAGATGATGAAAAAGTATATCACATCTTACTCCTTTGTTTGCCAAATGGCAAGTTTCTTTTGACAGTGATTATACAATGCAAATTTCAGAAATGTTAAAATAAGTTGTTGAATCTGTGAGCTTAAATACGGAAGTACGGAAGATGAGGAAATTAGAAAGTAGTATAAAATTATACAAGATGGGATAAACGAAAAAAATCAGTCATTTACTGGGTGCTTATTGTATGCCAGGCACTGTAGTAAGGAATTTATCCATATTCATCTAATCTTTATAAACCCCACCCCCACTTCATCCCGGTAAAATTTATATTAGTATCCCTCTTTTGCTAGTGACAGACTAAGCTGAGAGAGGATATATAACTTACTCAGGTCACACAGACAGTGAATTGTAGAACCAGAAATAAAACTCAAATCTGGCTGATCTCAAAGCCATGCTTTCAACAATGCTATGTATCATCCAAAAAAAAATAATCCCTGTGGTGTTCTACTAACCATAATATTCACTTTACATTTTATTGAGTGTTAACTGTGTGCTAGGAAATGTGACAAGTGCCTTATGTAGAGTATCTCATTTCATTTGAAGAAACATGTTGTAAAATTGAACTAGGTGTTCTAGAGATTATATTATGAGGTTGTAGCTCCGAGAGTATATAGATCTCAGACCATAGAATTTCACTCTTCCCAGAAGAGAAAAAAGAAATGACAGATATAAAATAATTTTTTCCAAGCAGTTAAGTGGTTTCTGAAAAATTAGCAAGTTGTGATATATAGGTTGAGCATCCCAAATCCAAAAAATCAAATCCAGTGAGCCTCAAAATCTGAAACTTTTTGAGTGCTGACAGCATATAAAGGAGGTGCTTATTAGAGCATTTCAGGTTTTGGTTTCTGGATTTAGGGATGCTGAACTAGTGAATTATAATGCAGACACTTCAAATTTTGAAAAAAAATCGGCCACCTGTAATCCCAGCACTTTGGAAGGCCAGGGTGGTAGGATCATTTGCATCCAGGAGTTCAAGACCACCCTGGGCAACAAAAAAATGTAAAAAATTTTAAAATACAGAAAAAATCCGAAATACTTCTGATCCTTAGCGTTTCAGAGTACTCAACCTGTACTGTTTTAATCTCCTAGGAGCATATTCTTTAAGAGCCAGGTATTCTGAGTTAAGCAAACCCTGCAAGGTGAAGAAATCTGCCGAGTTTGTGGTGTATTTTGGAAAATTTTATGTGCATAGGTACATGCCTTGTATTTATAAAATTAATGTAAACATTAGAAATCAGGAAGAATATAATGTAACATTGTACTGTTTTCTTATTTATAGCCACTTTTCTAAAAATACATACTCTTTTTTTAGGTCCCGATCACACAGCAAGAATCCGAAAAGGTAGGTGTATTACATAAGACAGGTATAAGTAGTGAAGTTGTCTTTTTCAACGGTAGTTTTTATAGATTAAATGGTCCTTTAAAAAAATATTTTTTTGGCCAGAGCACGGTGATGCACGCTTGTAATCCCAGCTACTCAGGAGGCTGAGGCAGGAGAATTGCTTGAAGCCGGGTGGCAGAGGTTGCAGTGAGCCAAGATTGCATCACTGTAATCCAGCCTGGGCAACAGAGCGAGACTCTTTAAAAAAGAAAAAAAATTTAAGTCGTTTAGATGCTCAGAGTAGAGATGTAAAAGGATTAATTTTTAAAAAATCGATTTGGGTGGTACATTTAGGAAACATGTTCTAAGAGGTTGTAGCTGTTAAAAACATAAGTAGGTTAATAGTTGGAGAAAATTTTGATTGATAGGTTAAGCAAAACCAAAATGTTGAGTATACCCTGCAGTCTTGACTTTATGTGAGTTTATTACCCATTTCTTTATACAGTGATCACAGAAAGCTTTCAGAGGCATTTGCAGCCTTAAGGAGCAAGACAATACTTTATTTTGACTTTCAGCATTAATATTTGGGGTTTGAAACCTTTCTTTATCGTTTTTGCTAGTTGGTGATACATTTTTTTTGTCTGAGAAAGGCAGGGAAATGTGTTGTATTTACATCATTCTTTCTCAGTTCTTCACTTGCCACTCTCATTCCAGTCGTTGAGCTTTTCTTCATGGATCCAATCCCACCTAGAATGCCCTTTCTCAGTCTTTTCCAAATTCTACCATTCCTCTTGTTCAGATCACATCTTCTTTTAGAAATCTTCTGAGTTCTCAGCTCTAGAGACAATTTCCCAAGAACTTTTCCCTAAAAAGTAGAGAATTTGTTTTTATGAAGGAAAAACCTGGCTGAGCGCAGTGTCTCACGCTTATAATCCCAGCACTTTGGGAGGCTGATCACCTGAAGTGAAGAGTTTGAGACCAGCCTGGCCAACATGGCGAAACTCCATCTCTACTAAAAATGCAGAAATTAGCCGGATGTGGTGGCAGGTCCCTGTAATCCCAGCTACTTGAGAGGCTGAGGCAGGAGAATCATTTGAACCCAGGAGGTGGAGGTTACAGTAAGCCGAGATTGTGCCACTGTATTCTAGCCTGGGTGACAGTGAGACTGTCTCAAAAAAAAAGAAAAGAAAAACAAAAAACTTCTGGTTCTGTTAGCTAAATCTTTCAATGGTGTTTCTGCCTAAAACACAGAAAAACTAAAGAACATTAATAAGTGGGGCTTGTTGTGTCCGTTAATTTCTATTATTGGTGAATTTCTCTGATCTAGCATGCTAAGTAGAAACATTAAACTGTGATACTGTTCTTGTTTACTGTTTGATTAATATAAGCTGGTCCCTCTGTTGAAAACATAAAGTATTGCACATAGAACATCTTTAGGTATTTGGGCCAGATATTTAATTTCTACTCCTCTAGTCCAGTTACCTAGATAGTACGTTTGCCTTGTAACTGGGCTCCTTACTTCTCTGTGCTTGCCCACTCCCCTTCTTCACCTCATTCTATTTTTCACACATCAGCCAGGATAAGCCCTTTAAAAAAATGAAATACATCACGTCAGCCCTCTGACTCTCCAAAGGTTTTTCATCTCATTCATAAGAGAAGTTAACATCTTTACCAAAGCTTTTACATAGAGTGACGGTGTGGTCTGGGGTGTCTCATCTTTTGGCTTCCCTGGGCCACACATCAGATACACTAAGGATAACTGATGAGCTGGAAAAAAAAATAGCAAAGAAATCTCATAATATTTTAAGAAAGTTTACAAATTTGTGTTGGGCTGTATTCAAAGCCATCCTGGGCAGCATGCGGCTTAGAGGCTGCAGGTTGGACAAGCTTGGCATAGCCCAAACTGCCCTGGGATAGTTCTGGTTTATGTCTTTTATCTCAGAATATGTATTAATAGCTTCTCATTACACTCAGTAACTTATTCAGAGCCTTCTGGTTTGAATGATAAAAGTATCTGGTCATCCTGCCTGTAAGACCCTGATGTTACTTCCTTTTGCTCACTTCATTCCAGCCACACTGGTCTTTTCCTTCGACATGCTAAGCTTTTTCCCACCTCAGGGACTTTGCATCTGTGTTCCCTCAGCCTGAAGCACTCCTCTCTGAGATGGCTGATTCTCTTGTTGCCTTTCTTCTTTTAGCTTTGCTTCAGTGCCACCCTATCAGAAAAGCCTTCCCTGCTTATTCCGTATAAATATTTCCACTCTTTTCTCTTTCTCCACCCTATGTAATACCTCTTTTAATTCTTTTTGAGATGGAGTCTTGCTCTGTCACCCAGGCTGAAGTGCAGTGGCGCGATGCCAGCTCACTGCAACCTCCACCTCCCAGGTTCAAGTGATTTTCCTGCCTTAGGCTCCCTAGTAGCTAGGATTACAGGCACGCACCACCATGCCCTGCTAATTTTTTTTTTTTTTTTTTTTTTTTTTATTTTTAGTAGAGAGGGGGTTTCACCATGTTGACCAGGCTGGTCTTGAACTCCTGACCTCAAGTGATCCGCCTGCCTCAGCCTTCCAAAGTGCTGGGATTACAGGCATGAGTCACCGTGTCCAGCAATAGATCTTTTTTTTTTTTTTTAACCACCTGACATACCTTTATTTACTGCCTACAAACCTGTATAGATCCCTTTCTATAGTATAAGCACTAAGTTTAGTTCAAGAACTTTATTTTGCTTCTCAACCTCCCGTAGTACCTAGAACAGTGCAAAAATACCTAGTGAGTATTTTTTGGATGAAAAAATTACCTAGAATTTTTTAAAAGATGAATAAAGTTACACATTGGAAGAAAAAGCATTCATTAATAACTCAAAATGAGTGGTTAAACGAAATATAATTTGATAAAACTTATATTGAGTTTTATATCTTTTTCCCTCTGCTTCCTTTTGGAATTATTTCAGCTGTGGAAATACGTTTTGTTTTTGTTTTAATTTTGTTTTGTTTTTGAGACAGGGTCTCACTCTCCTGAGTAGCTGGGACCACAGGGGTGTGCCACCGTGTCCAGCTAATTTTTAAAAATGTATTGTAGATATGGAGTCTCCCTATGTTGCCCAGGCTGGTCTTGAACTCCTTCCGTTTAAGGATTAAGCAATCCTCCCATTGTGGCCTCCCAAAGTGCTGGGATTACAGACACAAGCTACTGTACCCAGCCAGAAATACTCCTTTTAAGAGTGGCTAAAACTACATCCATGTCATGTACCTTTGTTTGACTATAATGTTGATATAAGCTGAATGTCTTTAAGCATTGTTTATAACAATCAGTTGAACATAAACTGTATTTGTAAACTATCTCATATGTATAATATGATTTTGAACTTGCTGTATCAAATTATGAGCAAACCCCACATTCTTAAAGTGACTTAAATTTAACAGTTTTATTGAGGTATTAAAAATGATTTACTCTGAAGTCAGTGATTTTTTAGCAAATTTAAAGCTGTGCACTATCACCATAATCCAGTTGAGAACATTGCCATCATAAAGTGACTCTTCTAACAAAATTGCATGCCTTTGTTTCCCGTCAAATGTTTATGTCCTCTGCATGCCATTTCCACCCTCCCCACGCACCCCCACCGACCCCACAAGTTAGTTTGTGACCTGGTGGAGGCTATAAAAGTGTCTTACACCTTGTGGGTTTCTTTTCAAAAAATGTTTTTATTTTGCCAGCACCTTGATCGTAGATCTTCTGGGTTTTCAGAATGTTTTTTGTCTCTATTTCTGTGTATTCATTAGAAATACATTTTGTTATTGCAATCTGAGTCAAGTTTTCAAAAATGATTTCGCAAGTTTTCTTTCTCCCAAACTCTTTGCTCCTTGAATAGAGAACTGTCTTACTGTGTTTTTTCTTGCTCTCTGTTGCCCAGGCTGGAATGCAGTGGTGTGAACACAGCTCACTGTAGCCTTGACTTCCCAGGCTTGGGTGATCATCCTGCCTTAGCCTCCCAAAGTGCTGGGATTAAAGGCGTGAGCTACCACCCCTGGCCCTTACTCTGTTTTGATTACACTGTGACTAGGCATGCATATTGTGGGCATTAAAAACGTATTTCTATGGTTATCTCACCTTTCTAATTGAGAGAGAGAGTAATTTATCCTGACGTATGCTTCCTCATCTCTTCTGTCCAGGTCTGTCAGGTACATATTTAATTTCTAGAGAATACAAAAAATGTTCAAGATATTTAAGTGCAATTAAATTCATAACACATCTAGATAATATAGTCCCTGGCATATAGTAGTGGTTCGAAAGTTGCTTTCACTTGAAAAACTATTTCTGATATAAATTTATACATTACTGATTGATCTCTGAGAATTATCAGTGTCCTGTTTTTGTTTTTGAGACAGAATTTCACTCTGTTGCCCAGGCTGGACTGCAGCAGTGTGATCACAGGTCATTACAGCAGCCTTGACCTCCCTGGCTCAAGTGATCCTCCCACCTCAGCTTCCTGAGTAGCTGGAACTACAGGCATGTGCCTCTGTGCCCAGCTAATTTTTGTATGTCTTATAGAGACAGAGTTTTGCCATGTTGCCTAGGCTGCTCTCAAAATCCTGAGCTCAAGCGATCCTCCTGCCTCAGACTCCCAAAGGGTTGGGATTACAGATGTGAGCCACGGCGCCTGGCTGAGAATTAAGTTTTATTTTGAATTCTAGTATGTAGTTATTAACACACCAGCAATTTAGTGTAGATTTAGCTGACTTGGAATATAATTGACATTAAGACTACTGAAAAAAAGTTTCTCTTTAAAGAAAAGCCTTTAATAAATGAGAAATGTAGTAATTACAAAGATAAAAACAAAATCTAATCTTGTCTGGTAGATCCAGGTCCAGAGAGCATCGCAGACATCGATCTCGCTCCATGTCACGTGAACGCAAGAGGAGAACTCGATCCAAATCTCGGGAGAAACGCCATCGCCACAGGTCCCGCTCCAGCAGCCGTAGCCGCAGCCGTAGCCACCAGAGAAGTCGGCACAGTTCTAGAGATAGGAGCAGAGAACGATCCAAGAGGAGGTATTGATGTGTCAATCAGAGGATATGGAGCTCCCTTAATGTTTTAGAGTTGTTTATGTTTACTTATGTTACTTATGTTTAGAGTTCAGATTATTGGTTTGAAACTTTTGCATCTGGTAATATGTACACATTTGTGTGTGGGTGTACAACGTTTTTCTGTGATTATATGGGTAGTTTTGAAAGAATATACTTATGAGCCAGAGCAAGAAATTGGAACCAATATGTGCAGAGGTTATTGCTTTTCTCTGGTTAGTGTGTCTTGGAAAAAAGTTCTTTACAGGTAAATAATATTAAATACCAATGCCCTTAGTATGGATCAGCAAATTAGGGGCTCTGAGAAGTCCTTTCATTAAAAGAGTTGTTTAGCTTTGATTTATTGTTTTCTAAACTTATTTGAGCTGGGATGCTTTTTCAGAGCAGACACATTCTAGTATATTCTTGTTTTATCTGCACTATAGATATGTATTGTTACATACCTTTAGCTTGGCAAGGCAGACTCGTAATCTTAAGGAAGTTCGAAGACTTCCTTGGTTTAATGAGAACATTCAAAAGGTGCAGGCATAGGGTAAGGTATGTTTGAGGACTTGAATATCTATTAAGAATAGACAAAGGATTATAATGTGGTAGAAGAGTTTAGCATTCAGTCTGTATAGATCAAGCTCTCAAAACTTCTCAGGTCACATGATGGCCCTTAAACCAGGTAATTTCTGTGTAATGTAAGCCATGTTTAAAATTGCTTTTTTCTTGACAACTATTCAAAGGTATATGTATGATAAACATTTTTTGAGTGCCTAGTGCCTACTAGTCTTACATATTCTGTGGATTACTCCACATAAAATCTATAATAAAATCCACAGAAAGCTGTTAAAATCTTTCCTTTTTTTGACTCAACTTTCCATTCCCTGAAATCACTCACAAGCTGAGTTTGTTAATAGGCTCTCAATATTTTATTTCTTATATTCTGGCCTTGTTTTTAGTAGTCCTTAAGGTGATTTTAATAATAATTGTATATGTTTTACCGTAGTAGACTTAGTAAAACATAAGAAAGACATATAACATAGTCGAACAACTTTAAGTTGCTCTAAGAAGTTTCCTATGTGAGGCCGGGCACGGTGGCACACGTTTATAATCCCAGCACTTTGGGAGACCGAGATGGGCGTATCACTTGAGATCAGGAGCTCAAGACCAGCCTGGCCAACCAACCCCGTCTCTACTAAAATACAGACATTAGCTGGGCATGGTGGCGCATGCCTGTAATCCCAGCTACTCAGGAGGCTGAGGAAGGAGAATCGCTTGAACCTGAAGGTGGAGGTTGCAGCGCGCCAGGATCGCACCATTGCACTCCAGCCTGGGTGACAGAGCGAGACTCCATCTCTCAAAAAAAAAAAAAAGTTCCTATGTGAGTTAGAACACAGGATCTACATCTTTGACAATAATTAGACTGGCATAAGACTACCACATGTTACAAAGTGCTGAACTGCATATCATAGAGTAAGTGATCCGAGAGTTCAGATGAGGCAAATAACAAAGTAATCAAAAATGGCTTCAGGTAGTCGATAAAATTTGAACAAGTAGAATCAGCTAGGAAAAAGATACTTCATATAGAGTGAATATCCTAGGCAAATGCAGAGAATGAGCAGGGAGTTTGTAAAGGACAGAGTGATTTGTAGGCCTCTTATCTCATGCTCTTGAAACTGATTTTGGGGGTCCACCCTCAGTGCAGTGTTCAGAAATAAGCATTTTTAAAAAAGTTACCTGTCTTATCTGCACAATGAATTTTCAGAATTATCCTGCTAGGTGATGGAGGGTTTAGACATTTTCTTGTGTCAATCTGCCCAGTTGTCATTGTTGTTGCTGAACTCTTAAATGTCTTTATTGGTGGTGGGTATGGGAAGGATGGGTGTGAAGTCCCCTCATCTGAGATTGTGTTATTTTAGTCCCTGATGCTTCCTGCGTTTATGAAGTTGTATAGGAATTTTTCCACCATACATGATACATGATCATATCTAAGATGTCAGCATGTTCATAAGGAGGATTATTTTTGTAAAACTATTAAAATTTTGCTTTTCTCGAGCACTTTCTCATCTTTGAATTGAAATTATTCTCTTCTAAAGCATCATTCTTTGTTTTTACTAAAAATTATCAGATAATTATTAAAACTTACTTGGTATTTCATACAACATCAAGTTATCGCTACATATTTGGGTTTAATTTTTCAAGGTAAAAGTTCTTATTGAAAGCCTTTTATGTTTTGCTGTTCTCCTTTCCCTACTGTAGAATACTGGTCTCTGATATAAGTAGATTGTCTTTGTGACCTCTTCCTGGCAATAGTACCCCGTGTAAATGAGGACCATTTGCATCTTTCTTTTTGCTCTGTTCAAACACGTTTAGTGCAGACTCCAAAGTCAGATTACTTGGGTTCATTGGTTTAGGCTAAGTAATTTATTTTTTTGAGACGAGTCTCTCTGTCACCCAGGCTGGAGGGCAGTGGCACGATCTTGGCTCGTTGCAACCTCTGCCTCCCGGGTTCAAGCGATTCTCCTGCCTCGGCCTCCCAAGTAGCTGGGATTACAGGCCCAGGCCACCACACCTGGCTAATTTTTGTATTTTTAGTAGAGACAGAGTTTCACCATGTTGGCCAGGCTGGTCTCGAACTCCCAACCTCAGGTGATCCACCCACCTTGGCCTCCCAAAGTGCTGGGATTACAGGCGTGAGCCACCACGTCCTGCCTTGGCTAAGTAATTTAATTATCTCACCTGTCTTTCCCCATCTACTAAGTGGAGATAGTAAGAATACCTGCTTTAAGATTATTGGCAGTTTGAATAAAATAGTATATGGAAACCACTTATGTGTGGGACATAGTAGTTGATAATCATAGTTTTTCATTTATTATTACTGATCTCTGGGACTGTTTAGCATCTAGTGTCTTTTTAGGTATCATTTTTACCGTCTCTTTTCATATTTTTTTCCAACAAAGGCTATGGATAGGACTGATGTAGACATGGAATCAGTAGACTTGGCGCTGTGATTTGTATTTTTTTTTTTTTTTGGAGATGGAGTGTCGCCCTGTCACCCAGGCTGGAGTGCCGTGATGCGATCTGTGCTCACTCACTGCAGCCTCCGCCTCCCAGGTTCAAGTGAATCTCCTGCCTCAGCCTCCCGAGTAAGTGGGACTACAGGTGCGCACCACCACACCCAGCTAATTTTTTGTATTTTATGTAGAGGCGGGGTTTCACTATGTTGGCTAGGCTGGTGTCGAACTCCTGACCTCAAGTGATCAGCCCGCCTTGACCTCCCAAAGTGCTGTGATTACAGGTGTGAACCACTGTGCCCAGTCTTTTTATATCATTTTAAAATTAAGTTTATTAAAACATTAAGTAGAATATTCAAAGTTTACATTATTTTAGAACCTTTTTTTGTTTAACCCTCAACTATATTTCTAAAACTGAACAGTCATATTTTTTATTTCCTGAAAGTATTAATTATTCAGGTTCTTGGTAGTGCCTCAGATCCTAATTTTGAATATGGGTTGAGTGAGATAATTATGTAAAAGTACTGTGTCACCTGTAAAGAACCAAATAAATGTAATTTGTTGGATTTTAGGTGTTGGAAGTATAGAAGATTCCATGTTTATTCTGATTCCATAATATGCTTGGTTTTCCTTCTGATTGTTATTATTTACACCTTTCTTATTGAAGTTGGGTATGGGAATGGAGAAGGTAGTAAACAGTTACGGCTAATCAAGATTTATTAGTGTGAGCATCTTTCTTTTTTTTTATTTCCCCTTGTTGGTTGAATAAGCTAACTCAGTATGAGTCGATTTTTTAAAGTGGTTATTTAAATTCATATTAATAATTGAGTAGTTCTCTTATCTAAGTCAGGTGTTGGCAAACTGTTGCCGATAGGCCAAATCTGGCCGGCAGCCTGTACAACCAGCAAGCTATGGATGGTTTTTACATTCTAAAAAGAACAGAACACTGCCACAAAGATTGCATGGACCTGCAGCACCCCAGATAGTCACCATCTGGCCCCTATTCTAAGCCATTTTAAAATTTAGACAATACCTTTCACTTTTTAAAGCTATTATCTATGTATTAGTTTTTATATTGAAATACCTTTTATGAATTGGAGAAACTCTGTTGTCTCTGAGATAATGAGAGTAGCCTGTAAGAAATTATTTTAGCCTTCTGACCCTCAGCTATTTGTTTTCACCCGTCTTCTTGTTTTAATGCCCTTATCAGCTATGGTAGTGCTCAGTATTTGGTCAGAAAACTGACTCCTCTGTCATGGGTATATTCTTCTATATATCTTCAGCTATCAAGAGCTTAATATTTATCCTATTCTTTAATTTGGGTTTTTGGTTACCCAACATATTTTGCTCCTCAAATTAATATTTTTCAGATCCTCAAAAGAAAGATTCAGAGACCAAGACTTAGCATCATGTGACAGAGACAGGAGTTCAAGAGACAGATCACCTCGTGACAGAGATCGGAAAGATAAGAAGCGGTCCTATGAGAGTGCTAATGGCAGATCAGAAGACAGGAGGAGCTCTGAAGAGCGCGAAGCAGGGGAGATCTAACTAGCTGTGTACATTTCTTCAATCCTTAAGCTTCCTATGGAGTTACGTACTATTGTTTAGTTCACAGCTGTTCAGGGCGACAGTGAGCAGATCCAGACACCAGATCCAGCTAGGCTAGATGTACAGTATCTAACTTTATCTGAACTGAACCTGTTTTCCTTGATGATGCCTAAAACTACATCCATAGTTTCTGGTGAACCTGTAATACAGTTCTGAAAGTACAGTTTTATATAATAAGATGCTGATCTCTTTATTCTTTCAAGTAAGAGTGATAGTGAACAAATTGTGTTACTTGCCTTGGGAGTTTTTGAACGTTTGTAAAATGCTGTCTTCCTAGTCCAAACAGCTGCAGCTTTGGGCATTTTTCTTTTTAATTCTTCTTCCTCTGACTTTGTATCCCTTAATACCTACACTCTCCAATTGTAAGAGAAAGGGGGCAGGGAAGCAATATAGCTTCCATTCTAAGGCTGTATTCCTGTTATGAATTACTAGCTGATTACAGTTCAGAGCATTGATCCTGGAATGTGTGCCGGAGAAATTTAAAATACTGGGGTTTGTTTAATGGTGCCTATTTAGAGTTGGAAGTTGAACAGCTGTTGCATTACATACTTTTGCTTTTTTATTGAAATTTTGAAATCAAACTTGTCTTGATTTTTCTGTTCTGTTGAATTGCTATGTTCAGGATGTTCTTGGGGGGTGGGGGCAGGGACTCTTTTCATAATAAGCACTTGTTTTATTTTGTGTGTGTGGAGTATAAAGGCTACACCCTTATTGTAAAAAATAATAATAAAATGAAAAACAATCACCACCACCATTATTAAACTGTAACTTGTCTAGTAAATTGTCACTAGAACTATTTGCTGTGGGCATTTCCTCTATTCTGTTACATCATTAACAGTGCCTTACTGTGCAAGGCACCAAAGGACATAAATATGTACTTGCAAAGATTCCAGATGAGCTGTTCACGTGGGCCCCTTGCTGACTATATTCCAGCCACTTAAGGGTTGTTTGTAATGACCATTAGAGAGAAGGACTGGACCTGCAGAAGAAACCGGGGTGTTTTTATTCTCATTCAACAAACCCAAATAAAAACAGTATATGTAACCAACATAATGAGACTAAGTTTCTGCATTGAAGAGGTGTATATCTACTAGTAACTTAAACTGTACTTGGCAGGTATCACTTGTGATTCTAGAAATTCTGAGGAAGAAAAATTCCTTAAGTAATGAAATTAGTATCTGTGGGTAAGGTCACCTTTCAAGAACTGTTAATGTCCTTCGTCCCCAAGTTTGACAGATTTGATGTCACAGGCATGTGGGCCTGTGTGAAGGTGGTGAGAGAATGGGAAACTAAGGCCATTCTAAGTGATACCAGATTACATTAAAAAAAAAAAAAAACCCTCATCAAGTTCCCAATTTACCAAGCTATGCCTCATTAACTGAGGGTTTTCTGCTGGATTTGGTTCCACACATGCAATTTATATGACATTTAATCTGAGAGACCCATCTGCCTCAGTGGCCCGTTTCCCTTCTTTTATTTTTGGTTGCTGAGAAATGTTTTGTATCTGCTTTGTTCCTGGTAGTCTGTGCTGTTCTAAATCCTTACAAGCACTTCGGATTTCATACATTGGGGTTTGGAGTAAAATCAAAAGGACTAACTGGTTGGTTTGAGGAAGAATGTCTGGGACCTGGCCCGTTATAATAGTGTATCTGGACTTAGATTTTGAACTCTAAAGCATATATACAGTTGGAATGGAACACTTGTAGAAGTAACACAGGTCTGTGTATCAGTGGTTACTGCAGTTGTGGTTTCTAGGTGGTACAGGCTGCCCCAGCACGAACAGGGCATGAAGTGCACCGTCACTGCGGGGCTGCATGCCACACTGGACCACTTCAACTGCATGGCTCTTTACATGATTGATGCCACTGAATTAGAATAAAATCTCAAATCTTAATATCACTATCTCATACAGTTTTTGGTCTTTCTGTGCTGGTGACTGGTAGAAAGCAGAACTAAGTATGTCGTATTTGCAAAAAACTTCTGTTCCTCTGGGGAATGTTTTGCTAGGTTTTTACCTTCAGTAAGGTTTCCTTCATTTTGCTGTCATCAAGTATTACCCTAAAGCTCCTTTGCTGAGCTTATCAACACCAACTAAAACTAAGGAAAAAAGCCTCCTTTAATAGGTACGTTTTAAAATTTATTTTATTTTATTTTATTTTTGAGATGGAGTTTCACTCTTGTTGCCCAGGCTGGAGTGCAATGGTGCAATCTCAGCTCACTGCAACCTCTGCCTCCTGGGTTCAAGCAGTTCTCCTGCCTCAGCCTCCCAAGTAGCTAGGATTACAGACGTGCACCACCACGCCTGGCTAATTTTTGTATTTTTAGTAGAGACAGGGTTTCACCATGTTGCCCAGGCTGGTCTCAAACTCCTGGCCTCAGGTGATCTGCCCACCTCGGCCTCCCAAAGTGCTGGGAGTATAAGGCATGAGCAACCCTCCCCACCCTACCCCTGCCAGGCTTGTTTTTTAAACAAAGACTTTACCTGTGATTATTAGACCTAAAACCAATATACCTTTATCTTTTCCAAGTTCCCTCTTTCCCCTCCATGTTACATTTTAAGAATCTATTTTTAGTGATAACTTTCAACATTGGCCTTTTGAGCCATCACCAAGTATGCATTACAATTTCCACGAACACTTTTGCCATTTGATGTAGTAAATTCTTTCAAAATGGTTTTTAGGTAATGATTATGTATATCATTTAAGTTTTTTCAAATAAATGCTGGTTATAATTGTTAAATGTTTATAGTTTTTTTTGTTTTGTTTTGTTCTAATACAAGGTCTTGCTATGTTACCAAGCTAGAGCACAGTGGCATGATCTTAGTTCACTGCAACCTCAATGTCGTGGGCACAAATGATCTTCCCACTTCACCCTCCCAGTGTGCTGGAATTATAGGCACGTAACCACTATGCCCAGCTAATTAGAAAAGTATTTGTACAGGCCGGGTGTGGTGATTCATGTCTGTAATATCAGCATTTTGGGAGGCCGAGGCAAGCGGATCACTTGAGGTCAGGAGTTCAAGACCAGCCTGGCCGACATGGTGAAACCCCATCGCTACTAAAAAAAAAAAAAAAAAAGAAAAGTAGCCGGGTGTGGTAGCACACACCTGTAGTCTCAGCTATTTGGGAGGCTTAAGGCACGAGAATCATTTGAACCCAAGAGGCAGAGGCAGAGGCTGCAGTGAGCCAAGATACTCCAACCTGGGCAACAGAGTGAGACTTCGTCTCAAAAAAAAAACCAAACAAAATTAGCTGGGCATGGTGGCACATACCTGTAATCCCAGCTACTCCAGAGACTGAGGCAGGACAATCACTTGAACCCTGGAGGCAGAGGTTGCAGTGAGCCGAGATGGCGCCACTGCACTCCAGCCTGGACGACAAGAGTAAAACTCCCATCTAAAAAAAAAAAAAAAATTGTAGAGATGGAGTCTTGCTTTATTGCCCAGGCTGGTTTCCAACTCCTGGGCTCAAGCAATTCTCCCACCTCAGCCTCCCAAGGTGCTGAGATTACAGGCATGAGCCACCACATCCAGCCCATTTACTGATTTTTTAGCTTTAAAATTCTAAGCAAATATTACATATCTAAAAAAAACCACACATACCTAATGTGGGTGTTCAGCTGTTACGGCTATCCCAGTTGTGAAACGATTGAAACGTCCTCTCAACTGGTAAATTACCTGCTGCCCTGGGCTAGTTGAGTGCCTGCCCCCAACGCAAGACCAGCAAGCACAGCCAGGAACCTCCAGCATTAGTTCACTACCACATGCTATACTGACTTAAATATTTTCAAACACATTCTTGTCTGTTTTGTATCTGAAAAAGCAGAAGCTATTTGATGTAATACTGATTTTCTTTCAAAAATGGTTTTTAGGTAATGGTTATCTACCTTTTAAGTTTTTTTCAAATAAATGCTGTAGGGTTTGTTTTGTTTTTCTTTTTTCTTTTTTAAGACAGCGTCTCACTCTGTTGCCCAGGCTGGTGTGCAGTGGCGCAAGCTCGGCTCACTACAGTCTCATCAACATGCTGGGCTCAGGCGATCTTTTCACCTCAGGCCCCTGAGTAGCTGGGACGACAGGCGTGTACCACCACCATTCCTGGCTAGTTGTAGTCTAAGAGACAGGGTTTCATCGTGTTGGCAAAGCTCATCTCCAACTCCTGAGCCCCAGCGATCTGCCTGCCTCGGTCTACATCATGATTTTATATCTTGAATGTTGATAATTAAAATTTCCTGGGGTATAAATAAGGCAATACAAAGTTGCCCTTTCTCAGTACTTTTCTCTGTACTGCCTGTTATTTGAAAAAGCATTTTCTCCCTCAGGGGAGTTAGGAAAGATTAGAGAACTGAGAGAACCAGGGTTTCCCTAGGCAGAGGCTAAGTAGGGGAGAGCAGGCAGGGTTCTGTCAGCAGAGTAGTACTGGGGCCATGCGTGACTGGGGCCATGCGTGAGTGGGGCCTTGGAGGCTCTAGGGTCAGCAGGCAGCACACCTGCATGTTCTCCAGGTAGCAGCAGAAACAGGGTGTTAGAGGTTTGGGGTCTGTAGGCATATCTGGGGATCAGAACAAGCTAATGGCCAGCATTGGAGGGTTTAGGCTGAAGCAAGGCATTGAGACTCACAGAATTGGGCTGTCAGTCAAGCAAGGATCCAAGAGATGGGGCCAGCCAAGCAGAAGTCAAAGGCTGGTACCAGCATCAAAATCTGCTCTGACGATCCTTTGGGAGACTGATTCTTCAAGTCTCAAATGCTGTTCACACCTGTCTGGATGCTGTTGGCCACCTGTAAAAGAAAATACGCTCAAATGGACTTAAACTCTGAAGGGACCTTAGCAGCTCATGTGATTGAGTTGCATGCCAGCTCCATATCTTGGACTAGCACCTGAGCCCTATATCCATATGAAGAGAAACCATTCCATCTTGTGTCTCTTAAAAGCAGGGCAACTTTTCCCAGGACCTCTCGCAGCCGCCTTCTCACATCTCTGTCCCTGGCACAGAGACCTACATAGATGATGCTCGAATGTGGAATGAATTAATGAAGTGCCTCATTGTGCCCAACATAAGTTAACCCACACGATTTCATTTGATTTGTACAGCAATCCTGTGGTTATTCGAAGGGACCATATTCTATCACCATCATGCCTGTTTTCCAGAGTAGGAAGCTGAGCCATGCTGAGTGACTAATAGGACACAGTCAGCCGACAGCTTTTTGATTCTAAGTCCAAGGCTCTTCCTGGCATAAAGTTTTGTGATAGGTAGGTCTCAGCTGGGAGTGGCAAGAAGGGAGCAACAGAAATGTCCATCACAAAAAGGACTGAAATGAATGAAGCAGGATGATAACTGCAAGTACTGTCCCATTTCCAGCACCTTTTATTCTAGTCTCATAGTATCTCAAGCTGATTGTAACAGATAAACCCGTAGTTATCCAAATAACATGGTATATAGGAGTTACCATTTTTTGTTTTTTGTTTTAGACAGGGTCTTACCATGTTGCCCAGGCTGGGGTGCAGTGGTGCACATGGCTTACTACAGTTTTGACCTCCTGGGCTCAAGTAATCCTCCTGCCTCAGCCTCTTGAATAGCCCCAGCCCCACCCACCACCCTCCCAACTCAGCTAATTTTTTTTTAAATTTTTAAATTTTTTTTGCAGAGATGGGATCACGCCATGTTTCCCAGGCTGGTCTCAAACCCCTTGAGCTCAAGGGATCCTCCCACCTTGGCCTCCCAAAGTGCTGGGAGTATAGGCATGAGCCACCCTGCCTGGCCAGTTACATTTTTTGATTTCTTGAAATTTTTGTTCAGAAAGTTTAATACAAATTGCTTGAAATCAATACAAAAATCTACTGGGTAATGAAATATAAAGGAGACTGAAGAGATGATAATCAGTAAAAGGGCTTGAACTCTGATTGGATGTTTGTTTAAAAGGCTGGAATAACTGGAGAAATTAGGATATGGATTGAATATGAATTTATTGCTAATTTTATTAGGTATAATGGTGGAATTGCAATTACACAGAAAAATACTCTTAGGAGATAAGTGCTAAAGTATTTAAGGATGAAGCATCTGGATGTCTGTGGCTTTCAAATGGTTCAACAATTTGCTAAACACATATGCAGAGCAAGTATAACAAATTGTTCACTGTTAGATCTAAGTAGATCATTGGTTTTTCAACTTTTATGTATTTTTGAAAATTTTCACAAAGTTGGGGGAGGAACTCTTAGATTTTCCATTTAAATAATCACTTTAGGCCAGGCGTGGTGGCTCACGCCTGTAATCCCAGGCTGAGGTGGGTGGATCACCTGAGCTCAGGAGTTCAAGACCAGCCGGGCCAACATGGTGAAACCCCATTGCTACTAAAAATACAAAAATTAGCCAGGTGTGGTGGTGCGCACCTGTAGTTGCAGCTACTCAGGAGGCTGAGGCACGAGAATTGCTTTAATCCTGGAAGTGGAGGTTGCAGTGGGCTGAGATTTTGCCACTGCACTTCAGCCTAGGTGACAGAGCAAGACCCTGTCTCAAAAAATAAGTAAATAAATCATCACTTTACATTGTTATTTTCTGGAGGCCATATATATGGGTGTTTTTAAGGCAGGGTTCCTCAAAATACGATCTCTAAACATTCTGAATCAGAATCACAAAAAAAAAAATATTCAAATGGCCAATGAGCACATCAAAGAAGAATCAACATCATCAGTCATTATGAAATGAAAGTTAAAACTGCCGGCCATGATGGCTAATTCCTGTAATCCCAGCACTTTGGGAGGCTGAGGTGAGCAGATGACTTGAGGTCGGGAGTTCGAGACCAGCCTGACCAACATGGAAAAACCCTGTCTCTACTAAAAATACAAAATTAGCCAGGTGTGGCGGTGCATGCCTGTAATCCCAGGTACTTGGGAGGCTGAGGCAGGAGAATCACTTGAACCCGGGAGGCGGAGGTTGCGGTGAGCCGAGATCACGCCGTTGCACTCCAGCCTGGACAACAAAAGTGAAACTCCATCTCAAAAAAAAAAAAAAAAAAGTTAAAACTATGAGATCCCATTATACATCCACTAGAATGTCCAAAAGTAAAAAGACTGACAGCACTAAGTGTGAATGAAGATGTGGAGCAACTGGAACTCACATTTGCTAGTGGTCGTGTTACAGGGTATAGCTATTTTGGAAAACAGGCAGCTTTTTGCAAATAAGCATATCCTTACCATATGGCCCAACAGTCCTCATTGGTGCCCAAGAGAAATGAAGACTTACATCCAAACACTTGTATTTGAACATTCATAGCAGCTGTATTATAAGAGCAGAAATATCCATCAATTAGAAAGCAGATAAAACAGGCCAGGCGTGATGGCTCACCCCTCTAATCCCAGCACTTTGGGAGGCTGAAGCGGGTGGATAACTTGAGGTCAGGAGTTCGAAACCAGCCTGGTCAACGTGGTGAAACCCCGTCTCTACTAAAAATACAAAATTAGTTAGGCATGGTGGCAGGTGCCTATAATCCCAGCTACTTGGGAGACTGAGGCAGAAGAATCGCTTGAACCTGGGGGATGGAGGTTGCAGCAGTGAGCCGAGATTGCACCATTATACTCCAGCCTGGGTGATAGAGTGAGACCCTGCCTCACAAAAAAAAAAAAAAAAAAAGATAAATTGTGATATATTCCTACAAAAGAAGGGATTACTGACACAAGCAGCAACATGAATACCTTTACAACAAGCTGAGCTAATAAATCAAAAGCTGAGCTAAAGGAATGAGACA